TTTTTGAGATTCCTCCAAACTGATTTCCATAATGGCTGCACCAGTCTGCAGTCCCACCAACAGTGCACCAGGGTTCCCTTTTCTCCACAACCTTGCCAGCACTTGTTGTTTGTTGATTTATTGATGATAACCATTCTGACTGGAGTGAGGTGGTATCTCATTGTGGTTTTTATTTGCATTTCTCTACTGATTAGTGAGGTTGAACATTTTTTCATATGCCTGTTAGCCATCTGTATGTCCTCTTTAGAGAAATGCCTCTTCATATCCTCTGCCCATTTTTTTAATTGGGTTGTTTGTTTTTTGGGTGTTGAGTTGAATGAGTGTTTTATAAATTTTGGATATTAACCCCTTATCAGATATATCACTGGCAAATATCTTCTCCCATTCAGTACGCTGCCTTTTTGTTTTATTGATAATTTCCTTTGCTGTGAAAAAGCTTTTAAGTTTGATGTAATCCCATATGTTTATTGTTTCTTTTATTTCCCTTGCCCGAGAGGATATATCAGTAAAAACATTACTGAGGGTAATGTCTGCAAATTTACTCCCTATCTTTTCTAATAGGAGTTTTATGGTTTCAGGTCTTACATTTAAGTCTTTAATCCATTTTGAATTTGTTCTCATATATGGTGTAAGTAGGTGGTCCATTTTCTTTTTTCTTTTTGCACGTGTCAGTCCAATTTTCTCAGCACCATTTATTAAATAGACTATCTTTACTCCAATGTAAATTCTTGCTTCCATTGTCATAGATTAAATGACCATATATGGATGGGTTTCTTTCTGGGCTCTCTGTTCTGTTCCATTCGTTTATGTGTCTGTTTTTATGCCAGTACCATACTGTTTTGATTACCATAGGCTTGTAGTATGATTTGATGTTGGGTAGCATGATACCTCCACTTTGTTCTTATTTCTCAAGATTACTGTGGCTCTTCAGGGTCTCTTATGGTTCCTTATAAATTTTAGGATTATATGTTCTATTTCTGAGAAAAATGTCATTGGTAGTTTGATAGGAATTGCGTTGAATCTATATATTGCCTTAAGTAGTATTGACATTTTAACTATATTCTTCCTATCCATGAACATGGTATGTATTTCCATTTATTTGTGTCTTCTTTGATTTCTCTCTTCAGTGTCTTATAATTTTCTGAGTTCAGGTCTTTTACTTCTTTGGTTAAATTTATTTCTAGATATTTTATTGTTTTTGAAGCAATTGTAAAAGGGATTGTCTTCCTGATTTCTTCTTCTGATAGTTTATTATTGGTGTATACAAATGCAACTGATTTCTGAATATTAATTTTATATCCTGCTACCTTACCAAATTCATTTATCAGTTCTAACAGTTTTTCGGTAGAGTAGAGAGTTTTCACATACCCATAATCAAGTTTGCTCTGTTGTTAACATATTAGTTTGGTACGTTGGTCACAACTAATGAATACAACTAACCAATATATTATTATTAACTAAAATCCAGGAGTCATTTAGATTTCCTTCATTTTAACCTAATGTCCCTTTTCTGTGCCAGCATCCCATCCAGGACCACGTTACATGGTTCCTCATGGCTCTGACAGTTTTGAGGAATACTGGACAGGCATTTGTTCAGTGTCCCTTAATTGGGATTTTTCTGATGTGTTCCTCAAGATTAGACTGGGGTGATGGGCTCTGGAAGGAAGACCACAGAGGAAGGTGCCATTTTCGTCACATCATATCAAGAGTAGATATTATCAGCATGACTTACCCCCTTTGATGTTGCCCTCGATCACCTGGCCGAGATAGTATTTGTTGGGTTTCTCCATTGTAAAGTTACTTTTTTTAACCCCTTTCCATACTGTACTCTTTCGAAGGAAGTTACTGTGTTCAGACCACATTGCCTCGAGGGCGAAGTATCTAGTAGGTTGCCGGAAAAGTCAATGATGCATTTTTGCAACAAAAAACATAGAAAAAATACGTCATGACTTTTCTGACAACCCAATATTATGTATAAGTTATTTGGAATTTTTCTGAATGGGAGATTTGCCTACTTCTTCTGTCAACTCAGCAAATCCTACTGCTGCCGTTTTTTCTTATGCCTGTCAGGTGTGAAATTGTGGCTGGAGGTGATGGAGTCATAGGTAAAAATTCACACCAGTTCTGACTTCATAGAAGTGGTTAAGGAAAGGTAGGTGCTGCCTCTACACTAGAGGAGGAAGGGACCATGAGAGAATAAAATAGCACCCCCCACCCCCAGTGATTAATTACCGTTAAGTGCAGGCTTAGAGTGATGTGGTAATAAATTATAAATGTGAACTTTAGTATAGACAATACAATTACAGAAAGGACGACAAAACTTAGGAATTGAGGGAAAACAATGTCAGTGAGCTTATACATTTCCAGCATCTCCTGGACATGAAACCATCTCCCACCTCCTAAGTATGAACCTTGCCATTTACAATGTTGTCATTTAGTTCCAAGCCAAGGAGTATCATGCAGGTGTTTGTCTGTTCTTTTTAAGCCTTGAAATTGAGCAGGCTTTCAAAATGAGTCTGATTAACTGTTTCTTCTTGGTGCCCAGTGTTTGGACCATTCTGGCTCATATTCTGCATTTTCCCCTCTCTCTCTGCAGAATTCTATCCGGCACAACCTTTCGCTGCACAGCCGGTTCATGCGGGTCCAGAATGAGGGGACCGGCAAGAGCTCCTGGTGGATCATCAATCCTGATGGAGGGAAGAGCGGGAAGGCGCCCCGACGGCGGGCTGTCTCCATGGACAACAGCAACAAGTATACCAAGAGCCGTAGCCGCGCAGCCAAGAAGAAGGCAGCCCTGCAGACAGCTCCCGAGTCAGCAGATGACAGCCCCTCCCAGCTTTCCAAGTGGCCCGGCAGCCCCACGTCGCGCAGCAGCGATGAGCTGGATGCGTGGACGGACTTCCGCTCGCGCACCAATTCCAATGCCAGCACAGTCAGCGGCCGCCTGTCACCCATCCTGGCAAGCACAGAGTTGGACGACGTCCAGGATGACGACGCACCGCTCTCCCCCATGCTCTACAGCAGTTCGGCCAGCCTCTCACCCTCTGTCAGTAAGCCGTGCACCGTGGAGCTGCCACGGCTCACCGACATGGCCGGCACCATGAATCTGAACGATGGGCTGGCTGACAACCTCATGGACGACCTGCTGGATAACATCACTCTCCCATCGTCCCAGCCATCCCCCGCAGGAGGGCTCATGCAGCGGAGCTCTAGCTTCCCGTACACCACCAAGGGCTCCAGCCTGGGCTCTCCCACCAGCTCCTTCAACAGCACGGTGTTCGGACCCTCCTCTCTGAATTCCCTGCGCCAGTCTCCCATGCAGACCATCCAAGAGAACAAGCCAGCCACCTTCTCTTCCATGGCACACTATGGCACCCAGACACTCCAAGACCTGCTCACGTCTGACTCACTCAGCCACAGCGACGTCATGATGACCCAGTCGGACCCCCTGATGTCCCAGGCCAGCACTGCTGTGTCTGCCCAGAACTCCCGCCGCAGCGTGATGCTTCGCAGTGACCCGATGATGTCCTTTGCCGCCCAGCCTACCCAGGGGAGTTTGGTCAATCAGAACTTGCTCCACCACCAGCACCAAACCCAGGGCGCTCTCGGTGGCAGCCGTGCCTTGTCGAATTCTGTCAACAACATGGGCTTGAGCGACTCCAGCAGCCTTGGGTCAGCCAAACACCAGCAGCAGTCTCCCGCCAGCCAGTCTATGCAAACCCTCTCGGACTCTCTCTCAGGCTCCTCCTTGTACTCAACGAGTGCAAACCTTTCCGTCATGGGCCACGAGAAGTTCCCCAGCGACCTGGACCTGGACATATTCAATGGGAGCTTGGAATGTGACATGGAGTCCATTATTCGTAGCGAACTCATGGATGCTGATGGGTTGGATTTTAACTTTGATTCCCTCATCTCCACACAGAACGTTGTTGGTTTGAACGTGGGGAACTTCACTGGTGCTAAGCAGGCCTCATCTCAGAGCTGGGTGCCAGGCTGAAGGATCACTGAGGAAAGGGGAAGTGGGCAAAGCAGGTCAGTGCCCAATGTTATGGCATAATCATAACAAAGTGGGGATGACTTGGGGGGGGTGGCAGCTGTCTCGTCTGTACTTTGAACTTTAGTCCACATTGAGAAATTGAGAGCCATGGAGCAGTGGTGCCAGTAACATGGCTCCCAGCCAGTTCCTCTCCAGGCTTTACCTACAAAACAAATAGGGCTGTCAAGTACCCCTCTCCACAACTTGCTGGCAGCTTAGGAATTTTATTGGCAGTAAAAAGAACACACACATTCAGAGATTTCATTCTTCTTTGTATCCAGTCACCCTTGCTGACATGTGACACAAGCTCCCCTACTTGATGGGTGGATGAGACTAGGAGGGAAGGGGAGGAAAGGGGACCTTAGGTCACACAAACTTCAAGGTTAAGGACCCAGCCAAAGGACTTCCTTAGACTCTCGGGTCCAGCACTGTCATTGTCGATCTTTGATGTTACGGTTTCTTCATCTTTTTTTCTACTAAAGTAACAATTTGCAGGCATTCCTAATGTAATTGTAGAATATGTATTCTGGACTCTTTCGTACATGAGTGTTTCCAGCAGAGGCAGGCTCTGTTAGATTTTTCACTGTAGAACTAAGCATCTTTATTAGTTAGCATCCAGTATCCAGTAAAGAGCAGAACAGCAAAAGATTTAAATTGTAAACAGAAGTTTTTATGTGAGAGCACTTAACTCATATGTTTCTTGTTCCCAGTGTATAAATGATGTCAGGTTCTAAACAGTGACATGGGTTGTGCACAGTGACAGATTTTTTACATTGTGGCATTTTAATACTGTTGGAACCAGAAAGATCACGCAACATGATGTAGTAAGAAAAGCATTTTATTGGAATCAGAAGTTGAGTGTTCGGTCCCACTTCTACTTTCTGGCTTCTATTGAGAGTGTGTCACTTAGCCCCAGAGCCCCAATTTCCAGTTTTATAAAATGAGGGTAATACCCCCTGTTATTTCACTGGGTTATCACAAGAATCAAATGCATTGAAGTATGTGAAATCTGTACAGTGTAATTAGGTAAACACACTGACCGACAGATGAGTAAGCAGGGAGCCCAGACCCAGGGTCACACAGCTGGACCCAGAATCCATGTTTTTGAATGGCTTGAACCATAATAGTGCTTCCTAATTTTATCTAGATATTAAAAAAAAAAAAAAAGGAAAGTGCTCTGAACTGGAGCCAGAGTAGCACATAATAGATAAGCTTGCTGTGGAACTCTCCTCCTCAAGAAGTAAAATAGGCACTGGGGTCTTCTGCTAACAGGTTTGTACCCCCAGACTCTCTCGTATTCAGTGGCTCTGCTCTCATGCCCTTGTTCCTTTTTTTTATTATTTAATCCCAGCAAGCTACTTACACTTCTTTAAATGGTGTAAAAGAGAAATGGGATTCAAAGCATAAAAACCTGAGCCTTGTTTAACCCTCTGCCCTGGTGAAGAAATTACAAGGGTCTCCTACGGTGCGCTCACTCCAGCTCATCAGTAGTTGTAGAAAGGGGAATGTCAAGAGTGTTGTGATGCTAAAGCTTCTCAGCTTTCCCAAGCATAGCAGGCCCCTAATGGAACTCAGACATCTGTTTTCAGTCATTTAATAGCCCTTGAGATGGTAAAAAGACTGTAATGGAAGCTAAATATGGTGACGCACTTCCATGCCAGTGTCTTTAGTATCATACCAGAAGTCAGACTGGTGGAGACTTGCCTTGAGAAATTTAGATATTTGGCTTTTAGAAGAATAAACAGTTTGTCTTCCTTTAAGAAGAGGAATGCAATTGTGGCTTCTAAGGACACAAGTAAGTTTTAATTTTGGCATAGTTGTAAGGAGGCCACTTTCTAGTTCATTGAAGAAAGTAAGTTCAGAAGAAAATGTACTATCCATTTTTGTCTTATTCCAGTGTAGGTTTTCCGTTGAGTTGAATAGCAGACCTTTGTGTGTGTGTGTGTGTGTATAATTCTAAAAGGTTGTATAAAAATATTTTAAGGGAGATTTAAATACTTAAGTTTTTAAAACATTAGTGAATTATTATTTTTATAAAGAACTACTTTGGGGATAGCACATTTTATTATATCCTAATGGAACCTTAGGGTCATTTAGTCACCTTTTTCTAAGAACATTTTGGGGGAGGCAGTATAGAGAAGATATTTCTTCAGTTAAAAATGAAAAGTCACCAGAGTAAACCAGCACAGTATGTATGACCAGAGCAAGAGAAGAAACGTAAAGACAGTGGGGTGCTTTGAGGGAGTCTGGTTTCTGCATTTCAGATTTACATTTTGCTTTGGAATGAATTGCTGCTCTAAACAGCCAGGAGCATGTGTGGCCTGAAGTATGTTCTTTACTTTTAAATTTACCTGTGGCTATTGCTTTATTGAAGACTGTCTCTTAAATTCACAAAACAGGTCTGAGGTCACAGTGTTAGACCTCACTTCTCCCAAATTCAGCACCCCAGCTTCCCAAGAGTTCTGTAATGACTTTCTTAGTTTGGCTTTACAAACACACACACACACACACACACACACACACACACAGAACAAAACAGTAATCATGGTATTCTCCAGACTCACTCCCTGGCTTGCTAACTGGAGGTCTTGTGACCCTGAATTGGAGCCATCTCGTTGTGGAGTTAATAGAGCAGTTCTGTCAAGTTGACAGACAGTCGTGCTGGAGAGCGGTGGTGAGGTGCTTCTCTGGACAGCTGGGTGTTTCACACATGTCATTCATTTTAGACCATGTATAAAATCCTTTGACCTGTGGGTCTATCTGGAAAAGAAAAAAATAACCATACCTTTCTGTGAGTGTCAGCTACTGGGGTGTGAAGGGCACTGTCTCTTGTCGGGCACACATAAAGCTTGGTGCAAAAACGTACTTAAAATTGGCAGCAGAGCTGTGTGTGAGCTAGTGTGGAGGTTGCAAGGCTGAGCCTCCAGTAAGCCCTCCTGAGTTTGACACGTGTCTCCTCTCGGAAGGAAAGCAGCATCCGTCTCACTGTAGTTTTGCTGTCAAAAGATGCTCTCTCATGGCATTTGGAGACCCCACTAGGGAGCAGCCCAGCATTTGGTTTTGTTTTAAACTACTCGATGATAAGGATTGGAAAACATGAACCAGGAAAAGCCCAAATGAAGAGAAGAGGGCTAGTCCTCTTTCTGTTTCTGCCACTGGCCACATCCCTAATGACTCTAGGAATAGTAGACTTCTCATCTGCCTAAAGGGGACGGAATCATAGAGTTTTAAATGTGCAGTGTGTGTATAATTTTAAACCTGAAGCCTAACATTCTGTCTGTGAAATGGCCCTAGTAAGAGATATATGGCATGGAACTAACTATAAAGAAACAGTGGAAAACTAGTGTGGCAACAGCAGGCCCCAGGGTTGGAGGCTGTTAAGATTTATATTTAGGCTGTGTCCCAAAAGGAGCAAATCTTTGATACTTGTTAGACTGATGTTTGAAAGCTGTGATTCTACTATGTCTTTAAATATTCATGTTGGAGGACAGGACTCATTCTTCACAAATACTATATAGCCTATTCTTGCCATTTTTTTCTTAATGTAACTATTTCTGTGTTGGGGAATGTAGCATCTGGTAAATATGAATCTGTACGTGCTTCACGGAGAATCCACTCTGTTACTTACACTGGTGACTGTCGTCTAGACTTTGGTTATAATACGCCAGCCCCAAGAATTCTGCATCTGCAGGGCTCTTTATTCTCACCTTTTAAAAAGCCTGAAGTCAGAAGTGTCATTCATGGAAAGAGTGGCTGTCTGGATCATTTTAGTGTTGACAACAGTAAAGGAAAATTGACACAGCTGTGAAAAGGGGTTTTCCATGCAGAGGTGGGTCCACTCATATATACTGTCTTTGCCCTGGAAAGCAATGACATCCAGCAGTAAGGCTGTTCTTCCTGGGTCTGTTAGTTTTTTAATGCAACCTGTGGTCACCTCTGGCCAGCCTGCTAAGCATGGGGACAGAGCTTGAGTGAGTCTCACTTCAAGTTGCATTAATAAGTGGCTTTTTGGAAGGTCTCTTTGGCCATAGAGCTTATGTGGAGCATAAATAAATGAGTGAAAATCATCAGAATTACTACTGGAAATTCTTGTAAACTTCAAGGTCCCATTAAATGCTTCTTTTTAGAGTGTTCATAATGCTCAATATTCAACATCTTATAAATAACATTTCAGAGCAGAGCCCCAGGGACAGCAAGCTGAAGTAGGTGGCTGGCTCATGTCCAACTATGATGAACCAGCTCTAGAAATCGAGCTTAAACTAAAGAAAGTATCCTAAGGGCTTTTAACAGAAACCAGCATCTGGATTTAGTCTGAACTCTGCCCTATTAGTATGAAGCTCCTGGAGTAGGGCCTGTTTTTCTCCCCCAAACAAAGACAGACCGCGTGATAATGGAATAGGAAATTTGAAAGCAAGGTTGTCCCAGAAAACCAAGCATGTAAGGTGTCCACACACTCTTGGGTCCTTTGCTCCAACCTTCCATGTAAGGCAGTCTCTTGCTCCATGACAAATGGTCATCGCCACCTCCACCACTGCACCACCTTCCCAACCAGGCCATGCACTCCTTTAGCAGGAGACCCTTTTTATTCACCTCTATGCCCTGTGTCCAGCCCACTGCAAGTATTCAGTAAATGGATTTTGTTTAATGAATTTAGGCTTTTCTCAGGCACTTGTGCCAATCAATATCGGGCCTGCCATTTTGCCAGGCAGCTCATCAGAGAGTAGAACCCACTCCATGGCTGTAAAGAGCTTGTATATGGCAAGGGCATACAAAAAAACTCAGTAAGAATCAAGGGGAAAAAGGCAAAAAAAATCCATAGTCCTCAAGGGGTTGTTCCCCTTTTTCAGCAATACTCTAAGGCAGGGTTTCTTTAGGGGCTTCCTTAGAACACTGGTCCTATGGTTTCTTTTTTTTTTTTTTTAAAGAGTGCATACTTTTTTTTTTTTATTAGTGAATGGGGGGATGGGAACAGTGCTGGGGAATTGGGGGAAGGGGG